TTAACAGGCACAATTTTTTGACCACGTAGGTATCATCCCAGACGTCTATTTCCTCAGGACTTTAATGAATCTGGTAATACCACCACCATTAAAAGATAAACATCTCATTATCAAGGACTTACGGTTCGAAGAAGTTGACGTAAGAATTTACCAGCCAAAAATGTCAATCACTGGCCAAAGAAGAGGAATTGTTTATTTTCACGGAGGAGCCGGACAGTTTGGAAGCATTCGTAAGTAATACGTCTAATATGAGTTACAACTACAAATAAATACTGTGTAGTTTCTGACCTGACATGGTATTTCTTAAATGACAAGAAGAGTTAGTAGCATGATAAATAAAAAAAAATAATTTGAGGAGAGCAGAATAATTTTATTTACGTGCAGTAGGCATCACATTAAATTGTCTTTATGCAGGTCATGGATCTACAACTTTCATTCTCTGATCGTTTATAATACCTGTTCTCCTTCTTCTTCTCCCTCAGGCTTATGGGAAAAGTTGAAAATCTCATTAGAATTTTATTTCTCATTTTAAAGGGTCCAATGCGTGTTCATGTGTGTGTGCAGGACTGCGTGTATGCGTGTATACTGCTGTGTGCCTCTGTAGCAGCAAAACAAGGAAAAAATAAATCTGGGCATTAGAAATGGAAAGGCGTAAGAGATGAGATGGTAGCTCACGCACAAGAAAAATTCTTGTGCTACATTTAGCAGGGGGGTTTTATGTTTAGGTTTTGGTTTTTTTCAGTAACTCTTCTTCAATACCAATTTAGACGTGGCAGCAGCTTTCTACTAACTAACTTTTCAAAGAGCCGACTGAAACAATGCATTGGTCTACATCCTAGGTTTCTTACTGGCAAGAAGATTCGCACAGAGGTAGTGGAATTGTAGGCAATCCCCAGCCTAGACCATGCTGCGAGGAGAGAATTTCAGTGTAGCATTAATCATGGAACAGAGAGAAGACTTACACAGTATTTTCATTCACCTTACTTTTAAAGCAAATTACAATTCCATTGAAATATTTTGTTTTACAGATGCCTATGAAAGAACATGCCGCTACCTCGCCAGGAAAAGCAATTCAGTGGTTGTGTCTGTTGGGTAAGTGGAGGCAGGCCAGACACACAATACGATAGCCATTTGTGCCTCCTTCTGGGCTTTTAAGTCTTCAGTGCACAGTCACCGCAAGCCAAGTTCCTTGTAAAGTGCCTACAGTACTTCTATTTAATGACCCAATGATTTAATGATCACGTGCGCTTCACCAGCACTAATTGCTCTTAGGAAGAATTAGTCAACTAATCCCCACTTGATTATTTCCAAGCAAAATACATGATCATAATTTTATTATTTGTAGCCACCACTAAGAGGTGAGGATGTTTTTGTTTCCTAAAGCCGTTTCCAAACCACCTTAAGCTGACCTAAAGCCAACATCCATGTTTCCTAAAGCCATATCCAAACCACCTTCAGCCAACACTATCTTTGAAGTTCAGCTGTTTCTGTTAAAAGCAGAGCTGCCCAGACTACTACTCATTTTAGGAGTCGCCCTGAAAAATTGGGGGGGGAGGAGGGAGGGGGGGCATATCCACATTTAACTTGCAATCAACCTGAGATGAACATTTACAATATTTTTCTACTAAGTTGTAATGCATTTTTAAAAGAACCAGTTTTTAAAAGTTCAGGAAAAGAGTTGATGTCTTGGAAATCGATGAAAATCGCACAAATTACTATTTACATCCTAAAATATTTGAAGAACCATTAACTATTCTTTATGTCCATAAAGAATTCAGCTTATAGAAAACCACTGAAAACCGTCCATGTTTTCATTATGAGTGTTCCATGCTCGTACTCTCTAACAATTTGCTGGGAAATGTTCGCTTCCATTTCTAACCAGAATTGCTGATAGCTGATTCGTACAGACCTGCCTTGGCATCTGCTTCCACAATAACTCAGCGTGTGCCCTCAGTCACCTAAAAGATAGGTAAAGAGTATTTTGCAAAGCCAGAATAGTGTACTGACTCCTCCACCATTAATACCATGCTATATATCCACAATATAGCAATAACTCAGCGTGTGCCCTCAGTCACCTAAAAGATAGGTAAAGAGTATTTTGCAAAGCCAGAACAGTGTACTGACTCCTCCACCATGCTATATATCCACGATATAGCAAATAATACACTGACAGCAATAATTACAATCAATTCTATTGCTGTAACTGTAATCTCGGAATATTTGCCCGTCTTCAGAATAAAATACCTGACTGAAAAGATGACAAGGGGGTCATGCACTAGATATGACTACGTTAAAACACTTTCACTCCTACGCAGGTACCGCTTAGCTCCTGAGCATCCATATCCAACCCAGTTTGAGGACTGTGTCACTGCCACCGTACACTTTATGAGGACTGCACAAGACTATGGAGTAGACCCTTCTCGCATCATCACCTGTGGGGATAGCAGTGGAGGTACACTCAGTACTGCTGTTGCCCAAGCACTGGGGAACAGAAGAGATCTCCCAAAGCTGAGAGCACAAATCCTAATATATCCTTATTCCCAGTGTGTGGACTTTAATTTGCCTTCTTATCAGCAGAATAAGAGAATCCCTGTTTTGTTAAAGGAAAGAACCCTTTATCTTGGTTTGAAGCATCTTAACAAAGACTTGTCAGTCATGGAAGCATTGTTTAAAGGTTGTCATATTCCAGAAGATTTGAAACCCAAGTATCAGAAATGGGTGAGTTCTGACTACATCCCTCACGAGTTTAAAACGAGAGGCTACGAACCAAGTGCAACACATCCATTCTCCAAAGAAGTCTATACAGAGGTCAAGAGTATGTTTGACCCTGTTTATTCACCACTGCTAGCTGAAGACAGTGTTATTGATCGCCTTCCTGAGGCCTTCATTTTGACCTGTGAATATGACGTGCTTAGAGATGATGGGCTGCTGTACAAGAAACGATTAGAGGACCATGGTATAAAAGTGACCTGGTGTCATCTGCAAGAGGGATTCCATGGATCAGTATTCTTAGCTGTTTTTGGTGGGATCATAGGATTCCAATCTGGATATAAAGGCCTGCAAGAGATATCAAATTTTCTAAGATTAATGTAAAATTTCATTTCTTGCCTTCCTTTCCTCATTCCAATCTCTCATTGCTTGAAAAGATTTTTTAAAAACACCCTCAGTCTTCTTTTTCTTAAATCATCTTCCGCAACTTCCACATTGCATTTGTCTTCTTTTTACCCAATAAATTGATTTGGCGATGCCTTTTGCTTTGTTTTCTCTTATGACAGGCAAAATCAGGTGAACTTGCTTTTCTTTCCTCTTCCACCTCTTCAGAGTTTTCTCCTGTATCCATAAAAGACCTGGTACCAGCGGCATGTGTTTTGCCACGCAGTTTGGCTCAATAAAGTTCTGGTAATATGAATAAACAAACCACAATTTGAGGACAATTTGGGACGGATAACAGGGCATGAATCTACAGGTTAAGTGTATAGTGAGCACGGTCAGTGATTTATCAAAGCCTGTATCCGGTGAAAGCTGAATTTGAGGCAAGCTTAAAGGGAATTGAATACAGCAGGAAAGATCTGAGCACAGACATAAAGACGTGGAAGGAAAGGAGGGGAGGTCAGGAAAAGGGTTAGGCTGGAACTACAGATGTTATAAAAAGGATTTAAGGAATTTAAGGTTAAGGAATTTAAGGAATTTAAGGTTAAGGAATACCATGTCTATGAAGAAAATCACAGATACACAATTTATACACAGAAAAATATAGCTGGGAATATACAGTAACATCAGTTACTCTACAAAGTGCCTGTATGAACCGTAGGCCTGCGCTGTCTGAAGCAGGACGCACCTTCTCGTAGGGGAACAATGTAAAGTGGCAGTGTATCACTAACAAAAGGATTCAGGAACACTGCCTGGACCTGAAAACTAGTGAAACACTGCAAAGTTCTGTAATGCTGGGAGGTCTTGACACTATTTGAACAGCGGTGTGTTACAGGAAGATGTTTAAAGAAATGAGAAAGGGAACACAAATTGCTGTGCATGGTTTGATCACCAGATGTCAGTGAACAACTGAGGGTTTAATGCCAGCAGACAAACCAGGCAAACCCCTCTCTGCTCAGGGCACAGCAGAGGAGTCCCCGAAAGCCATTGCAAAAGGTCCGTCTGGCTTTTAAACCGAACCTGTTGTTCCACCTTCATACACTAAAGCTGTATGTTCAATAGCAGAGCACATTTTAAACCATAGCAATTTCAAAGTTAGGTCACCTGTTCTAAGCCAGTCGAGTTTCAGTGGTTTATCCAAGTCTACAGCTTCAATTATCCCCTGCTTTTCTGTCTTTTACCTCTTTGTATCACCCTAGTTAAAAGGCAACATACAACAGCGTTTTGAAAAATAAGCAGGCAACTCGAAAACACTCCTCTATTATTTATAAATAATAGCACATATTTAAAAGCGTTTAACATTACTCTCTGCCTATGATGCTCATTTCTGTACTGCTTCTGAAATAAACAGACATAGCCCTGCAAGCTATGGCTGCTTTTATTCCTGCCAATCTTCTTTCTCTGAGTGCCCATCACCGCAGTCATTCACCGTGTTTGCGGGCTCTCTCCTGGTAGTGAAGGAACTGCTAACCTAAATATTTAGAGTAATGACTCGCAGACAAATCTGGCCACAGCAAATTAAGGCCGGTTGCAGTGTTTATATTTACATTCAAGGTACTTATGACTTCAGAAGAATACACCTTGGTGCGGTGAGCTGTCATTAAATCCCAGGTGGATGTTGCAGAGCAGCTTATTTGGGCTCCATTTGTGTGGAGCAGAGCTGACCCATTCTGAGGAAGAGAACGGCACAGCTCCTGAGGCACATATATCCAAGACCTCATCCACATTTCAAAATGCTGTGTAACAAACACCTTCTGTTGGGCCACCGTGTCAAAAATGTACCTGCTCTGAATTGTACAGCTCGAGCTGGATTTCCATCGCTGAATGCTAATACATCCTATGTGACATCATTTTTATTTGGTGGTTTTTAATACAGGACGGCTTTTTACTGCAGAATTTGTGAGCAGATGTTTAACCCAGGAGTCATTTGGAAGGCAGTGACTTCAAAGAGTAAACTAGAGGAAGAAAGGGTAAAACAAGGATTTATGGCAGACTAAATGGAAGACGGCTTTCAGTCATGAGTAAGAGCAAAATGCGTAGGGAGTAGCTAGTAATTTGGGTGGAGAGATGGAGATAATAAGAAGGGAGGACACCGGTAAGTAGGTAGGAGGCAGGCTAAATGAAGGAGGAGATAGATCAAGCAAATCAGAGCACCTTTAAGAAACAGTATGATAGAACATTCACTAAGCTGCAATTTCTTAAAGCTTCTTGTTCTCGCTGTACAGGGCACACTAAATCCATCTCGCAGATCAGAAGACTAAGGCTGACAGGTATGAAGAGTTCTGAGATGCTTTCAGTCATTTGTTTACATAAATACAAGAAGAGAAATGTGACTGGAGGACAGTGAGTTTCTTACATGCTCTACTTGGTAAGAAGTTAGTTAAATTCCACTACAGTCTAATTCTCCTACTAAACTACCTGGAGCAAATAAATAAATAAATGAATAAACAAACCACATCAACCAACCAATGAACAAAACCCACCACGCCAACAAACAATCAAATCCAACCAAACAAAGAAACAGAAAACCCACGTACACACACAGAACCCCCAACACAGGGAAATCATACCATAGAATCATAGAATGGTTTGGGTTGGAAGGGACCTTAAAGCCCATCTAGTTCCAACCCCCCTGCCATGGGCAGGGACACCTTCCACTAGACCAGGTTGCTCCAAGCCTCATCCAGCCTGGCCTTGGACACTTCCAGGGATGGGGCATCCACAGCTTCTCTGGGCAACCTGTGCCAGTGCCTCCCCACCCTCTCCAGGAAGAACTTCCTCCTGGTATCTATCCAAACCTCCCCACTTTCCATTTTAACCCGTTACCCCTTGGCCTGTCACTACAGGCCCTTGGAAAAAGTCCCCCCCAGCTTCCTTGTAGCCCCTTCAGGCACTGGAAGGCTGCAATGAGGTCTCCCCGGAGCCTTCTCTTCTCCAGGCTGAACAAGCCCAACTCTCCCAGCCTGTCCCCATGGCAGAGGTGCTGCAGCCCTCTGAGCATCTCTGTGGCCTCCTCTGGACTCGCTCCAACCGGTCTATATCCTTCTGATGTTGAGGGTTCCACAGCTGGACGCAGCACTCCAGGTGGGGTCTCACAAGAGCAGATTTACCAGTGTGTTTGATTTTGAAAGGTACATTGAAAAAAAAAAAAAAAGGAACCTATCAGAAACTATTATTTCCACTTTAAATTCTTCTCTGGAATACATTCTTTTTTCCTGTTTTCTTTGCTTTATTCCTCCCAGTTAGCTATTAAGCCTGGCTTTACTCGCCGGAATCAACACCTCAGTCGTTGTAGCTGGCTACTTCACCATGCTTAGTTAATTCCCGTAGTATTTCTGTACTACACACAGTAGCGCCACAATAGTCAACTAACTATGGGCTGTTCCCTAACACAGCCTACAATCAGAAGTGAAATGTTTTGCAATATTTTAGAGAAAGACATTACAAGAAAAACAGTAGCACGACATTTGCACCTTCGCCTTCCCATCACTACTGTGGC